ATGTTATACATGATTCTGGTACCCAAAAACTCCCTTAAAGTGCTCCTGGGGCATGGAAGTGCTGATGCATTGTGTTGGGAAGGTGCTGCTGATTTCTCTGGAACCAAAATGCAAGCCCCATGTTTTCCCAGTGAATCAATCCATCGAGGCTGAGTCAATCCTCCTGAGCCCAAGACGAGCTGGCACTGCAGCTCCTGTGACTCACTGCCAGTGGGAATCGTGGGGAGGTTTGGTCTGTGCACATTTAAAAAATAAATGGGCAAAGGGAGTTGCTGAAAACACAAGTTGTACCTTGCTGGGCTCGCCCTGTGGGGTTTGGCAAGTGCTGATCCTGTCCTGGGGCTGCAGGGGTGGGGGGGTCAGGGCCTGCTGCAAAATAATCCTCTGCTTGGATAATCCAGACAGAGGAGTGGGAGAAAGGAAGAGGAGAGGACACAGTCCTGACTGAGAAAGGGTGTTCTTGGCTGTTTTCTTTCTGTAACCAAAACCAGGCTGATTCTTCTGGAACACAGGGATAGAAGGGCAAAGGGGTGGGTTTCGAACCTGTTGCTTCAACAAGGTGGTTAAAGAACCACAGAATGGTTTGAGTGGGAAAGGACCTTAAAGCTCATCTCATCCCACCCCCTGCCATGGGCAGGGACACCTTCCACTAGCCCAGGTTGCTCCAAGCCCTGTCCAACCTTGGCCCAGTTACACTGAGAATGGATTTCATGCTTTGAACTGAAGTTCTGCACAAAGTTCTTGAGCCTCAGTAAAGGAGTGAATTTGATAAGGGATCATTCCCAGGAGGATTTGCCTTCCTCATCCAGCATGTTGGGGATTAGCTGCTACATCCATTTTCAAAGGAAGCTCAGGAATAAAAGATAATAATCTGTGCTATTTCTCATTGCAGCAAATAAGATGAACCCCCACACACTTTGTCCACTACTGTTTGGAGCAAGTTTTATCCTTTCTAGAGCTGTTTTTACTGAGCTGATCTTTGTGTTAAACTTCCTGTGCTGAGAACCATTTTGTGAGAGAGGAGTTTGTGTTAAACAGCAGGTGCACTACCAGAAGGCTTCAGTTGTTTCTTGTGTCCTCTCCCTCCCAAATTAAATTGAGAGGAAAAGGAAAGGCATTAACATGTGCAACTGGGGCTGTGCCCTTTCCAAACATCACATCTGAAGTTTTGGAGCCTCGTCCTCTGACAGCCTTGAGGTTGTGAGGATGATTGAGAGGTGACTTGAGAGACAAGTGCTTGGAGGGAGCACTAAGGATGTGACTCCTTATCTCTGTGTCAGGGGGAGGAATCTCTGTTGAAAGATGTTTCTTCCAGCCATTGCTGCTTCCTAATGCTAAAATCCAAGTGAGGAATGAGGTGCAAATTAATAGTGAGGGTCCAGCAGCTCAGGAGGGAAGGGATGGATTTTCCATCCCTGATGATTTTATAATTAAGTCGATGCTTTTTTCCCCCAAATATAACATCAACCAGACACGTGCTGAGCAAGAAAACAACCCATGGTCTGTGAGCTCTCACCCCCACAGTCAGATTTGGGATCCTTTTGTGTTGGATTTGGGATCTGTTTCCCTCAGTGTTACTGGACCATGTTCTGTAGGCTGAGAACCTTTGGAAACTGTTCTTGTGGTTGTTGTGGTCTATAAATCCCTGAGGATTTACCCAGGGATAGGGATGTGACTGAGACAAGTGGGAATGCCCCTCTGATTGCTGATGGATGAAGTGGGGATGCAGCGACCCAGGGTGGCAAAGTGTGTATGGATTTCTACCCAGGCACTGGGAAAACAGCTGGAGATGGACCAGCACAAGTCCCATTCTGGATGTGCTTTTTTCCACAGAATCCCAGGGTGGGTCAGGCTGGAAGGGACCCCAGGTGGGTCACTGGTGCCACCTCCCTGCTCAGGCAGGGCCAGCCCAGAGCACAGGGCACAGGATTGTGTCCAGAGGGCTCTGGAATCTCCCCAGGGAGGAGACTCCAGCCCCTCCCTGGGCAGCCTGTTCAGAGCTGGGGCACTGCCCAGGGAAGAAGTTCTTCCTCCTGTCCAGCTGGAGCTTCCTGGGCATCAGTTTGTGCCTGTGGCCTCCTGTGCCATTGCTCACAAACTGCACAGACCTTGCTGCAGGGGCTGCAGAGGCAGCGGGTGAGGTGCCCCACGGGGTGTGTGGATCATCACAGGCCTTTCTTCTTAGAAGAGGAAGTTAAACATGTACATTTGAAGCGGGTTTTTATAAAACATAATGAATTTCATTGGGCTTGAGAGCCACGTTGGGCTGGAGGCAGCAGCAGATCAAAGGAAGAGGTTTAACATCAGGACCCCGTGCTGTTCATTAGGACAAATCTTGGAAAGAAGTTCTCTCTTCTGCCTCTTAATTACACCATCAATGCCAGGACCAAAAAGCAGGATGCAAGTGGCTGCTGCTGCCCAAGATGCCATTATAATTAGAGTAGTCCCTGAACCTCATCCAGACTTACAGTGTAGTATCAATTCAGGTTAAATTGGGAAACTGAGCAGAAAATTGCTGTCTGGTGTTTGGAGTGGTTTTTGCATCTTAACATTATCTGATACTGTATCATTATGCACTGCTGCAAAATGCCAGAGCCCTGCCAGTAATGACACCGGGATGTAAGAGCAGGAAACAGTGAGAGAGATTTAATTCCTTCTGCAGTTTCGTGAAATAAAGTCAACTCAGGTACACACTTGTTCAGATTAAATATAATGATCCGCGTCTGCAGCCCGACTCTGCCGGGAATGCACATCCATAGGTTCAGGGGAGAGGGGGGAGAGTTGCCATGGAAATCCAAGCAATGTCATAGTTGCAGCTCGTTGCAAATGGCTCATGTGTCATGGCTCATTTTCCAGAAGAAGCGGAGAAAAGCGGGAATTGAGGGAAAATGTCAAAACGTTNTGCTCTGAGGAACATTCTCCCAACCTTGCCGTGGTGCCACCTCTTCTGTCTGTATTTTCTTGAC